GTTTGTTATATTATTTTACCATATTCGCTAAAAGAGGCACTACCATACCACTACCATATGTCTATTTGGTGATGATTGTAAAATCCGAATTACTCCGCAGAAATATTTCAACTGTCTTTCAAAAATCCAGCATTCATCAGAAAACATTTGATTTTAGAAATTTCTAGAGTTATGGTATCTTTGGCAGATTCCTCAATGGTATGTAGGAGGAATAATCAGCTCAGGTCTGCAGATGGTTGTTCATCCGTTCGTTTTAGCTGATAGTACGATGCTCTTCATTTCGAATTAATCGAACTGAGTTCTACGTTCTAATGGCTCAGACGACATCTTCACTCTAAAGAAGAGTTTATTAGGTGACACATTTGATATAATATAACTTTTGGTATTTCTTTTGCAAAAATTAAGAAGCAGAAGCAAATGTCGCGGGACAATATTCATAGAAGCATGCTTGTGTGGAACTTTTGAGCTCAATGATAAGTTTGTTTTTTTTCCAGCGAAGCCGGGGTACCAATAATTTAATGGTGGTGAGACAATGTGAAACTATTTGACAAACCTGCTTGATTTTTCGAAATGAAGCTATTAATCAGTGGAAATCTTAATCGATACAGCCGCTGGCATATGAGTGTCGTTAGCGATTCCCTTTTTGGGTTATGCCATTTGATCAACATCGTCTAAGACAGGTATCACTACCACTGTGAGTCATCAGCTCGGTACGCTCGCACCGGCACAAAACGACATACCTGTTTACACCTCTGGCCCGACTGACGACGTCAGATGGGGGTGCTTCCGCCTTATCCTACTCTATATAAAGCGCAACCACCCCCATGTGAGTCAGCGCGTCTGTATGTCCACGTAAACATGCCTGTATATGCGCCCCAAAGAGCGATCAAGAAATGATCCTTGGCATTCGCCAGACGACCCGTTGCATTCGAATACGTAAACAACACTCAAAGCTTCCAAAAGTCACGATGATGGCTGTGGTACAATACGGTCTAGAATACATGTTGACTGATTGGTCTAGCTCTCATTACTTCAGTTAGGCTTCCAAACCATCGACACACACGATCTCAAATCTGTTAGAATTTCTGCCGATTTGTTATAGTTTCCTTCCAACTGCATTGCATCAACGCGCACCATTCCATTTAATTTCGCTTTCAAAATTAACATCCGCTGTAGCAAATATATGCGTGGCTAAAGTTTTGAGTATTGTAGTCAATGTTTTGATTCTGGCTTCATCAACAGACTTGGTAAGAAAGCGATTTTCAAATAAAAATTTGTGCGTTTACTTCAGTTGTATTTTTGAACCTTTGATTTTTTTGTTAACTCTATACTTCAGCTTTGAAGCTCCCATTTACAAAATGCTTCTCGGCTGTTGCATTCACCGTGTGTCAAGTATTATCCGCCTTCCAAAAATGGGAGATGGGGAATTTGGAGAGTTTTGCGAAAAGAAATTCGTTGCATGGAGAACAGAGAAAAAGAAGGGCTGCCCGGAGTTTTAAAACGTGGATTCCAGTTGCTCAAATTTTTTTACACTGAAGAATCCGAAGAGTGTGCTATAACAACTCGGGAAAGGATAAGAGCAGTTTGCCCGATCTTGAAGAGTCGGTTGGAGAAAATTCTCTGTAATACGCGTTGGAAACTCATGGCAGGGGTAGATAAAATATTCCAAATGTGAAGCTCTGACATTGCAGTAATGTCAATATGTGGAAGATATCCCGAAATTATGACCAGACCGAAGACCTAAGGAGTTTGACTTTTTTCTAAGGAGAAACTTCAGAATAGGAAAAAATTTGATAGAAGGCGCTACCAAAAAGTTTCAGTAATTCTAGCCTTGCTCTATTCTTCTCCTCTAATCAGCAGCAGAAGTAGAAAACAACTTCAGGGGTAGGGGAGAGGAGGAGGAGGAGGAGGAGGGGAGATGGGTGAAAGCTTCAGGGATAGCGGGAAAACGAGAAATATGAACATAATCAAGTTCACTGCTTTTTATATAGTTGCGGGAGGGAGGTACTAGACAGACATAGATAGACAGGGATAGAAAAGTCTGTAGGAGGCAGGCAAACATCCACTTGCATTTTACTGAAAAAATCGTGCTTAAGAAGGATTGTAGGTTTCTGACAAGAGTGGGATGGGACTTGCAGATGTTTGTGCCGGAATTAGCTAAAGAGCATTTGAGTTCTCTGGAAGTTTGTACGCTAGGGAGCTAACTTTTAACTACGCCCTACATGGTACGTGTGCCTAAAGATTAACACATTGACGACCGCTTGACACACATGGTGTGTCAAGCAACGACTACCGCGTGGGACCGCTTGACACACCATGTGTGTCAAGGCTTGAACTTTGTTAAAATGACTACTATCCTGGAATAGATTCACCCCACGAGCTTTCTTTTGCACTGAGTCTAGGGATGGCCTCTACGTGTTTTGTCAGCCTTTCAGATCTACTGTTGATGTACTGCAGATCGCAGTATGCGTAATCATATTTGAAAAATGTAGGCTGCTCCGTAAAAGGCCTTCTCAGACAGTCGCCGGGGACAGGCGGGCACCGGAAAAATAGATTGCTGATCTCTCGCACCCCGCTCGCGGATTTTTTGGAAAGCAATCAGGGCTTTTCGGAAGACCGCTTGCTGAGTTCTCGATTCCTCAGAGATTCAGCAATATATCTGCAAAAGATAAGAGCGAAAAAAATTCAACAGGCGGTCTCTCAAAAATCCGCTGACTCAGCAAGCGGTCTTCCGAAAAGTCCTGATTGCTTTGCAAAAAATACGCGAGCGGGGTGCAAGAAATCAGCAATCTATTTTTCCGGTGCCCGCCTGCCCCCAGCGATTGTCTGAGTTGGTCCCAGAAGGCACACAACCAAAAATCTGCACGGTCCTCAATGTGTTAATGATGTACCTTTCATTAGGATAACGTACGGCACAAAACTCCAAAGGTTCTGACTTTCAAACATATCCTACTTCGCACACACAGCCAGTCCAAAGCGCCGCGAAGCGGCGCTTTGGACTGGTATAAAGTATAATATCAAAATATGGGGAGAGGGGAGGGGGACGGGTTGTTGGGATACTGTCTATGTCCATGTTTTATCTTGCTACTTCTTTGAGAATCTTTAGGATATATTATGGCTAGACACCAGTGGCGGATTGAGGGGGGGGGGAGGCGGGGGAGGGGTGAAACTTACCTACATAGGTTATAAAAATGTGCAAATGACTTGCTTATTTTTGTAAATATTAGGTCGCAGACCCATGCTCGAACCACTTAGAATGAAGAAGACAAACGAAACGCTATAAATACTATCCGACGCAGAATTCTTTCCTCTTCCCAATGGTTATATTCTTGTTCAGATTCCCGCAACGCACACTCAATAATCAGCAGGGCTTTCCAACCATGATTTTCACCCATCTCCAGTTTGGCTATTTGTTAAAAAACCGTTTTCAACTTGGGCTAGCTTCGATAAATTGGATAGAATAAACAAAAGGCAATAACGCAATAATGCAATGTCAACTTTTACTCCTCTTTCTGATAGACTTCTTTTCTTTCTGATTTATACTAGGCTGTTGCATAAGTTCTGTCCGATTTTTTTGCCTCATGTTTGAAGCAGCTGTTCTAAGAGAATTTCATCTCTAATTCGATACGGTTGGTATCATTGAAAAGTGCTTTCCTTGCGCTTTCTAAAGCATACCAGAATTCAATAAAATTCTTAGTGTACGGAGATCACAGGCCTAAAATCTCTAAGTGGCCGAGGTACGTTCTATCCCTAGAAATATGTCCTTGCGAGGATATCTCCACAATGCGCCCTTCAAGTCAGGTTCTTTCATTGGCTTCGGAATAAGGGTATGGAATGCTAGTATATGCAGAAGTTCGGTCCCATGAAGAATACGTCTTGCTAGTGAAATTTATCCTCGAACATAAATCTTTGGTATAGATGTTTTACAAGCAATAACTTTCTGCGAATAGAAGTAATCGACAAGCTCAAAGTTGGAGGTGCTAGGGCAAAGCAAGAGCTAACAGGGCCCATCCACCAATTCCTTTTCGGCGCTCACGTCAGTTGTAAAACGTTCGTAGTTCATAAATAGGCATGCACACATGTGCTGAAGCGAGGTCAAAAAGTGGCTAATTTTTTGTTCGGTCAAGAAAATCTCTCGGCAGCGCAAACCCTATGGGCTCTTTTATGTTGCATAATAATCTACGAAAATTTCTCTATCCATCCATTATTAGAAAAGATGCCTATCAATTTTCATAAGGGAGCGTTACCATGTCAAAAAAGACAGATTCGAAGAAAAACGCTGCGAAGTTTTTGCATTCTTGGTTCTTCCTTAACAAAGATTTGCGCAGATCTCAATATGCATTTTTTAGCCAAGGGACTGCTCAACACATAGAAACTAAGACCTTGGAAAAAAGTTGACTCTGAAAGAAGTTATGACATTTTAAACTCAAAAATTCAAATCGGACAGAACTTATGCAACAGCCTAGTACTATATTTGAAGATAAAATTATTGTAGTTTTTGTTTTC